CCGCCCGCCTGCCGGCCTCCCCAAGGCCCCCAGCTCAGATTTGGTTGGAGTCTCCCGCCCGCCTCTCGCCAACCCAGGGACGGTGAGTGTCAGTCCCTGAGCTCTGGGCCCGCTCCGTGGTCTTTCGCGTCCTGGGCAAATCCCAGCGCAACAGCCCCTGTGCGCGCGCGGGGGGCTGGGAGGGTGTCACGTCTTCCCACAACAGTCATTTCGTGGGCTTGGATGCCTGGGACCCTCCTCCCCTGGGCCTTCGTGGTGTGGCGCCGCCCACCCACTGGGCGTGGGCTCCGGTGGCGGTGGAGTGGCAAGGTGAGGTGCCCTGGCTTTCAAGGGTCCAAACTCCAGTATCTTTTCCTCCAGTACTGGGCTCCTCTCCCCAGCGCCTCCTCCACAATCTTCATCCAACCTGCCCCTTGTTGATTGTCCCCCTTTCTTCTGCAAACCCAAAATAGAGCCCAAGACTAAATATAATCCCAACCCGTGATCGATCGATTCCTGGGGCGCTGTCTCCTTTCCGTGCTGGGTGGATCTATGCTTCTCCTGAACGCTGGCCTGGCTCCCACCTCACCAGGCCTTGGCCACTGGTGATCACCTTCCACACCATTGGTTGTGTTCTCTCCTCTCTCCTTCTGCTTACTTGCTAGACTATAAACATTTAGAAGGCAATGGCTGCATTTGAGTTATCCTCGTTTTGACTCCTGCCCCACCGTGTGGTTAACAGGAAGAGACATGTTTGTTAGGTTGACTTTAGCCTTCTGGAGTTAGCTCTCTCTTTTTGAAGGCTGATTTAGAGATGCCAAGAGGACAGCCAAGGCCTCTGTGGTCATTGCACCGCTTCAAAAAGTCACCCTGATAAGGCAGCTTCTGGCAGAAGGGACATCCAGGAGACTGCTGGCATGAGGTGGCTTCTGCAAGGCAGTGGTGCAGTCTGGCCTGTGACCTTTGGAAGGATCCCTCCTCTGTTTTCCAGGACAATCATTCTGCTTCAAATTGTAATTGGCTGGAAATAACTGAGTTGAAGATTCGGCAGCTATTCTAAGGTAATATGTTTTATTTGTAATAATACTGGGTGGCTGTACACCTAGGATCTGTCCCATTCACATAATATGAAGGCACAACCACTTGGCTGCCGTTTTGCTCCTGAAGGCATGTTTTTCTCCAGAGTGTTTGAGAGCATGAGCAGCAGACTAGGCTGCTGTTTAATTATTCATAACTCAAACTCGCCCCCACCCAAATTAGGAAAAGAGGAGGGACTTGGCAGTTTTAAGAGAACATTGCAGAAAAGAGTCACTCCAGTTTCTAGGGAGCAAGAGGTAATTCCTGACTGGGTCTTCTTATATCAGAATGGGGGGTGAGGGGGTCGTATAGCCTCTTCTTTTTTTTTTTTTTTTTAAGGTGGTGTGCCTCTGTGTGAGTTACGAAGGACAAGGATATTTCTAACTTATGCAGCAGGTGTGAGAACTGTATAGTGTTGCCTGCCGGCTGCATTACAGCTCTGCTGGTTACACCAAAGAGGAGAAGCAGCTAAGCTGTGGAACAATGCCCTTTGCCTAACCAGGAATTCCATAGCCCTCCTTGGGCCTTCTGCCGCCCTGGTCTATGGAGATCATGTGAATGTGAGAAGGAAAAAAAAATAGAAAGAGAGAAAGACAAACAGGTGTCTACCTTCTTCTGGCATAGTCATCTGCAACAAACTCAGCTAAGACCGTAAACACAGGACCCCATATGCTTTTCTTGGACGACAGTAACACAACAAATTATTCCCTTAGCCTCTCTCCTAGAAAGGAAGGAGGTTTTTTTACTCAGTTGTCTATGTCGTCATTTTCTCTTTTTTCCGTCCAGGGGAGGTTTATCGGCAGCAAATGAACACACTAATGTAAATTCACTCGACTCAAATCTACTATCCCAAACCTCCCACAACCCAGCAATTCCTCCATGTTTGATTGCCTCCAAGTAGAGGGATTTTGCAGCATAAAGGACTGAGGATGGCCATGGTCCTTCCTTGGCCCCAGGTCCCAGCTTGCGCTTCTTGGTGCTTGCCCTACTTAGGCTGCTGAGGGCCAGGACAGGGAATTGCCCAGTATGGGTTTGAATCCTGGGGCCTGGGCCTCTGGGCCTGGGGTCTCATTCCCTCTAGCTCCTAATGGCAAGGCAAGGATGAGTGAATGCAGGCAGGCAAGCAGGCAGTGAGGGAAGAGGTGCTACTTTCTGCATTTTCCTACCTCAGCAGCGCCCCCCACCACACACACACACACACACACCAGAAACCCATTGGACCGGAGCGCTAGGCTTACGTGCACACAGTCTTGATGTTCGTCTTGTCATCCAGGCCCTGCGGGTAGTTGGCCATGCTGTCGCCCAGCTTGAGCAAACAGTCCGAAAAGCCCTTAAAGACCGCATCGCACTTGCCAGCTGCTCTCACGGCCTGCACCAGGTATGCTGCGAGGAAGAGGGGACACTGGTCAACAGGGCCAAAACCCTGCCCTGTCACCTGATGGGGTCCATTAGCTTGGCCAGACCCCATGTGGCTTGGTTCCCCAATGTGGCTGGGGCATCTGCAAGGCCCTGGATAGGGTGAGCAGGTGTTAAAGGTGACTGAGAGATGCAGCCCAAGAAAGACTGGCCTGCACCCAAGATCTTGGCTTAAGCAAATCTATATTCACTCTCTCTCTCTCCTCTTTCTCTTTATAGATGGAAGCTGGTAACATATTGTGTGTGTGGCAAGACCTCAATTCTTTTCCTGCATCTTTTCCCATTGCCCACCCTTCTCACTGCCCTTGTCTCTTTTTTCCGTCTCCTCACTGCCCTCTTCCTATTCCAGTATATCCCCAAAGCCTCATCACAACCCATCACCCATCACATTGCAGCCTTCCATTTCTGAGGGGACAAAGGGGTCTTCCCAGCAGCTTGTGGAGGTGGGGAAAGAATGGGGAAGCCAAGCCACCAGCCACCCTCCAGTCATAACTTCTGTCTCTGTGCCAAGCCTGCTCGCCAGCCCTTGGTGGGCACTCAGCAAACACTGCTGAATGGATGATGAATAAATAAAGTCCCTAGAAGCGACCAGCAGCCACGGAATTGATTCATTAAAAAACCAATTGTCTCTGGTAGCATCCTCCTGTATTCCTAGTAAAGTCAGGGGGATCCACCCCCACCCCCACTGGAAAGCAAGAGGCCCAAGCAGCCTGAGCCTGTACAGAGGAGACAGGTCAGTGGCTAGAGACTGATAGTTCTGCAAGGTTGACCCCAGGTCTCCTCTCTGGAGGAAAATCCATGAGCCTCCGGACCACTGCCCCTCTGCCTGTATGTGTGCTTCAGCTCCCCACTAGTCCTAAAAACAGTGAAAAACCATACACCTCTCCCAAATAGTCCTTAGGTGAGACCGCTTTCCTTCAGGTCTGGGTCCTGAGCAAGGGCCTCAAGGCTAAAGGCCAAGGTTGTTCTGGGATGGAGGCCTCTAATGGGGGCGTCCTTATGAGAGGGGCTGTGGAAGCAGGAGGTGGCTACCCAGACCACCTGGAATCCTCATTCCCTGCTTAATTTGGCCAAGCTCTGTGGCAGGTTTGTGCTGGCCTTTTCTCCCCATTGGAAACAACCGAACCAGCATGCAGGCTGGATTTAGAACAGGGATCCAGAGAGTGAAGGTCAGATTGGTTGGTGGTGGGGAGCAGAGACAAGGGCCAATTTTCCTTTACCACCTGCACCTGGGGTGATGTGTCCCAATAGCTTAAGAACTCCAACCCCTCCGCACTGCACTCTATGCTCCTGCAGTTCCTTGTCCTGGAGCTTCTGGCCAGACCTAGACAAGTGGGAAGGTGACCATGGAAGCACTGCAGGAAGAGCTAGGAAGGCCTTTGGTTTGCTAATCCGGTAAAGGAAACGCAGGGGAAGGGACCAGGGTTAACTTCGCCCTGGGCTTTGGCAAACTGTCATGAATTTTCCGTTCTGAAATACCCTGCAGTGTCCTAATGCACTATGTAACTCCTACTCAACAAGGAATCTCGCGAGTGCACAAAGCGTTGTTCTCCTAGAGCTTTGTCCAAATGAAATAAACCTTACAAATCGTCCTCTCATAAATACAACGAAACGGAATGCAGTCTTCCCTCCCCGTCTCTCCCTTACCGCCACCCCTACATAAACTCGGTGGTGGTGAATGAGCAGCCCCTAAAGATGCTTAGACATTTTGTAAAAGGGAAGTTAGAGCTCCGAGGGCAGGCGGGCGGGAGGTGCACCTATCTGCTATCTTTTCCCGCACGAATGAAGAAGCCACTCTGTATGGCCCATGTGTGAGTGTGTGAGGGTGTAATAGAAGTGGTGACAATGCCTGACTATGACTCCTTGGGCTCCAGATTGTTGGGGGAGTCTGGGAGCTCACAGTGCCCACCAGGGAAGCTTTTGGAGGCTCATGCTTCCCAGCAGGTCACAGCCACAAACCACCAAGTCTTTCCTAAACCTAGTGTTGGGCCAGCCTCAGCAGGCGATCCAGGATTAAGCCCTGTCTTCTGCAGCTTGTGCTTTGACCTCTCATTCATTCCCAACTTCCTCCTGCTGAGTTTTCACTGCGGTTCTCCACTTTATTTCTCCACCCCATTTCCAACCCTATTTTTCTGGCCAAATGTCAAGGATTTGGGACTGCTCGCTCCCAGACATGAATTAATAAAGACCAAGGTTCTGGTGTGGGAAAGGGCAGATATTTGGGAACATGTATTCCCAGCCTCAAGCCTACAGCCAATATTTGGTCATTTCTTCACGGAGACTAAAGTGTCCCAAGCGCCTCCGCACAGCCACTATGTCCCTCTGTGAGATTATTTCCCATCAGGACTGAAAACAGTGAGCCGATAGTAAACCCCCCTTCCCCATTTGGGCATAGGACACAGAACCCTAAACCGTTTCCAATTAAAATCTGTATCTCAAGTACAACTGCTGACTACCGCTCAGTGAAATTCATAGGCTAATAGTATTGTACAATGGTTATTATTTATATCATTTAGGGATTTGTTGCCATTAGAGATATCCTGTGTTTATTGAAACTCTGCACCAACGTCCAAGATTCATTCAAAACAACCAGATCCAAAGCATGGATTATTTCTTAGAATTAAAGGAAAACACCAACATCCTGCATTCATATGCTTCCAACTCCCTATAATGTTTGTGCAAAATAATATTTAAAATATTTTTAATTCTCAAAAAACGATTGACAGCACACACAAAATCTTCTCAAAGGCATTACAAACCTGACTTCAAAGAATTCATTTAAATAACTAGATCACTCCAAACCTTACCTCCTTCACGTTTGTGGTGAAGAAAAAATATTCTGTACTCTTTCTCGTCCTCAAACCAATTTCTTAAAGCATCTCCAACCCCTCTTGCTGCAAGGATTTGTCTGCACAGACTGCAACAGCCTGAGAGGAGAGGAGGTGACGATTCCCTGGGTCTCCAAAACCCTGGAAGAGTGTCTATTTTTTTCTTTTGTTCATTCTATTAATAACCTACTTCACTTTCACTTCAGACCATGTTAATTAATACTTGGAAGGCACCAGAACCTGTTTTCTAGAGCCACTAACATTGTCTTCTTTCTGGCTGGGAAAAAACGAGAACTTTACGAAGCCCCTCCGTGGTGTAACTATTCCTCAGTATCCCCAAGCACAAAATAGAGACACACGGAATCTGTCTATAACAAACCCCCAACAAAACAAAAATAAACATCTGACATAACACATTGCAAATTCTTGAACGCTGATGTATAAAATGCAGACTGCTTGTGTCTGAAGTACTACAGGCACATGTGTCTGGAAAATTATCTCCATGTATACAGTATTTGGCTATGATTCATTCTCCTCAATGGTAAGTGTATTTGATTCTGTGGTTTGGGTCCCCCATCTTTCCCCGATTTGAAACCCCCCACCCCCAGCCGCTGCCAGGCTGGTCTGAGGTGCCCAGTGCAAAGGCTGCAGCTAGAGATGGGGGAGGGGGGGGTGCAAGGAGAATGACAAAGTTCTAAATGCAGCAGTTTGAGCTCGGAATATCTTTGCTTTTTGTACGTAAACTTTCCAGTCCCAGTCGCTTTGCAAGGTGCAGCCACCTTTTAACCCTTCAAAAGCAAACCATGCAGCATCACAAGGGCCAATGCATTGCCCAAGAGAGCACTGGAGAGGGAAGCAAAAAATGGACAGGCGCTTTAGAAAAAAAAAAAAAGAGGGGAAAGCCCTCAAAAAAACGACTGACAGCACACACAAAAGCAACCACCTTTAGGAAAACCAAACCCTGCCGCGCGCAGCGAGTCTTTGGACATGGATGTCCCCCCCACCGCCCACCTCTGGGGCTTCTCCGGTCCCCCAAGCCGTCTCCTGCGGACAAGGCCGGGCCGCTGCCTCCTGCCTCCTGCCTGGAGCTCCGGCCCGGGCTACTTACCGATTTGCACCGCGAGGATCAGTGAAAAACATCTGCCGTTCAACTTAAGTCCCATCCTACGTTTAGTCAAACCATTTGCGACCGCAGACCTTTAAATAGTTGGTTTCGAGAACGCGGGGGAAAGCTGCAAAATAGGCATTGCCAACAAGTTCCACGAGTGATGGAGACTTTATGCCC